TTTGTGGTTTTCCTGTGGTTAACCTCACCAAGGCCTCAAGTACTTGACTGTGCCCAGAAAAGGGAACTGAAACAGTAGCTGAGCAGCAAGTGGGATGGTCCAAGTTCCCCCCTAAATTGTCAGCCCAAACCTGTTCTTCAGCCAGACTGGGAAACTGGAGACGCTCAAATTGAGGCTCCTATTGGCCAGGAGAAACAGTGCCCCCTCCGCTCCCCGCTGTGCCCTTCGTATGGTTCCACACCATCCTGGAGAGAGTTCTCAGCTTAGTGTTTCTTTGTGAAATGCTGAAAAATTTCCTAACGTCTTCTTTTAACCCTGGAGTTCTGGATATGCGCTGTATAAGACGCACTGCTGAGCCCTGGCCTAGCTGAATGTCTGTGCCCTGGCCTGGTCTGGAGCCACACCCTTGCTGTCCCCACTGAACTGCCTTCCCCTGTGCAGTCACTGCACCCCACCCGCCACCCAGCACAGCCCTTGGGAATGCTGGGCTGGGGATGTGAAGGAATTAGAGTACAGCCTTGCAGAAAATTACTGGGGCATTGGTCTCAGAGGTGGATTCCTGAGCCTGTCTTCTCAAGTCTGATGGTGTAGGTGAACAGGAAAAAGGAAGTCAAACTGCTCAGCTAAAAAGAGTGTGGTTTTCTGTTTTATTTCTGTTTTGTTTCATTTTGTTTTATGATTCTATGAGAGCGTAAAACCTATTGGGCAGGTTTATGAACATCACTTGACTGAGATTCTTTCCCATTAATTTTAACCTCATCATATTTTTCAAGCAACAAAGTGAAGAGATCTGACATTAATAAAGTGCCCTGTTTCATAGTTTAAAGAGGACACAACTAAAAGTGTCACTGCATAGAGGCATGAAAGAGGCCTCTCCTGATGGTCTTTCCTGGAGTCTCATCTTGGTGCTCAGCCAAACAGCCTTTAGTTGAGTGGCTCAGGATAAACCCTTCTTAGCAGCCAGAGTCACGAGGGATTAGGAGAAAAATCAGATAAACATTCATTTATTTGGTTTTGCATTTTGATATTGAGGCATAATTAATGTGTGGTGCACGTATGTACAGTGCACAGCCTGACAGATTTTAAAACAGGCAAACATTGTATCTTGTAGATATGCCAAATAAAGTGTGGGACATTTCTTCCACCAGATATGTCTGCCTTCCCTTTACCAGGGAAAATAACCATAGTTTTTGGCCATTTGCTAATTTATAGAAGAGGGAGGTCCTTCAGGTGAATGTGTCTGGGGAAGCAGGCAGTTACTTGGAAGGTCTCGCTGGAATCACAAAAGGTGAAGGTTGGAAAATCAGCCTCCAGAGAAGCCAACTGAGTTGCCCCCACCCATGGCGATGGCTGGATCCCTGTCTGCCAGATTGTGCCTTGAGTCCCTTGAGCATATCCTGTCCCCTTGCCAGAAGAACAAGACAGTTTTCAGACTGGAGAAGAGAGGGCCTGACCCCAGTCCAGGTGAGATCTCATATGACGGAAAGCATTTCTGGTGCCTGCACAAAAGCATGTTCCAGTCCACCTCCCTGAAGTTATGCCCAGGTCACCTTGATTCTGAGAGTGGCTGTTCCTGGCCATTTTGGTTACATATTTACAGCCTTTGGGTCCACTCGCACACACGGCTATTTTCCTAGGAGAGACCAGATGAACTTAACTCTTGGTGGCAACTTTCTCCTTCCATCCAGTTCTTCCAGGTGCACTGTGAAGCCCTACACAAGCTGCAGTAAATGCTGCAGGAGTCTGGAGTGGTGGCACTATTTTGCCTCTACTACATATCATGCTTTCAACATGATACCATAGTCCTGTGATCTTTCAGGGAGGGTGTTCTTATCCACATTTGACACACAAGGACATTTAGATTCAGAGATGGGAAGAAAATCACCAAGGTCACAGAGCTAGTAAGTTGACAAGACTTGGGATTTAGGCCATTCAGCAGGACCTGGGTGTCCATGTTCTATCTCCCTGTATTTTCTCTCAGAAAAGCCATGGAGAGGCTAAGTTTCTGCCAACCAGCTCCTATCCCTGCTTGATTTCTTCAACAAGCAATTGGCCAGTGCATAATGAAATCTGAAAATTCTGCCTCCAGGCTGTATATACCAGGTGACACTTGATGTGGGAAAAACTCATTAGAACACTGGATTTTTTGGGAGCAGAGTGGCAGCTTTGTCCCATGGTTTGTTGTGGAATCATCACGAGTTCTATTCTTGATTAAAAGTCAATGGGCTGTGCGACTTCTCTGAGCCTCTGTTGTTAAAGGAGTAGCCTGTGAGGCTTTCTCTGGGGAAAGCTGGGTGCTTTCTATTCTCACTCTGTTCTCAGAATGAATGTGCATGAAAGCTCCATTATAAATCTGTTTTCTTTCGCCTGACCTATTTCTTCAGTACTGAGGTAAAGGAGACACACTTGCCCTTACAAGATGAGGGGACAGTTATCCTGGATGGACATTTTCCCTTCCAAAGCACAATCGTATAGGCCTTGCTATATCATCAAGGGAAGGTCCAGGCAGCTGTCCTAGTGCCCAGGCTGGAGTACTCACTAAATATTTTTTAATTGAATTAAATTGAAGTAATTGAATGAGCCTTGAATTAAGAGAGATATTTCTCTCTGGTAAACAACATTGTCATGTTTCTGATACCTTTAGGGAAACTGTATCAGAGTAACTCAGGGGATGGGGCCGACAGTGCACCAAGCTCTCCTTCTGTACATTGGTTTTTGTGAGTTTAGACAAATTTCCTTAATCTCTTTGGGGCTCAGTCTACTCTTCAATGTTTTAGTTTTTTTTAAGTGAAAACACGTGTGTTCCTTTCCTAGGGCTGATATAACAGATTGTGGCTTTAAACAATAAAAATTCTCTCTCTTACAGTTCCGGAGACGAGAAATCCAAAATGCAACTTGTTGCCCAGATTGGCTCCTTCTGGACAGTCTGAGGAAAATCTGTTCTATGCCCCTCTATGAGGTTCTGGTGCTCTCTAGTAATCTTTAGCGACACTTACTTTGTAGATGTCTCATTTCAACCTTCTCCCCCATGTCTATCTCTGTTTCCAAATCTCTTCTTATAAGAATACCAGTCATAGAGCATCACTGATGCTCTGATCCAGTATGACGTCACTAAACTAATTACGTCAGACCCTGTGCTCAAATTAGGGTCTGGGTATTCCTGAATTTTGGAGGAGTGGTGACTCAGTGCATTTCAACATATTTTGGACGAAGCCCTTCTGAGTATTTCTGACATTACAGTATCAGTGGGACTTTAAATACAATACATGGGACTTTTAAAAGTTGACTGTGATGGCATTATGCTATGCAAAGTAAAATAGTTACAAAAAGACATATTATTGCGTGATTCCACTTATATGAGGGATTTAGGTTAGTGAAATCCATCAGACAGTGGCTAGAAGGGCAGCTATTAGTGCCTGGAAGGCAGAATGAGGAGTTATTGTTTAATGGGTACAGTGTTTTTATTTTGTAAGATGGAATGAATCATGGAAATTGGCTTCGTAACTGTGTGAATGTATTTAACACTACAAACTATACACTTAAAATGGTTAGGATGGTGTTATGAGATGTGTACTTTACACCAACTGAAAATTTAATTAGAAAAATCACTCATGAGCTGATCTGGAAATTGATGAACATTTGTATTATTGTTTTGTTTTGTGTTAATGAACTGCATTCTGTATTCCAAAGAATTTTTGCAATAGGCAGCATTTATGAATGGGTGACTACCTGTGTTTCTGTGTTTAATTTTGTTTTCTGTCTTGTTCCCCAATGCCCTTAGCTACAACCTGGGTAGTGGCATGGCAACCATCATGGTGAATGGCTCCTTCAGTGATGGCCGGTGGCACCGCGTTAAGGCCATGAGGTAAGCATCTAGCACTGCAGGACACAGTCAGCCCTGGTGTGAGTGGGCCGTGGGTCCAGTTCACCTCCAGTCCCACTGTCCTATTCCCCACCTCTTCCTGGCCTCCTCTAATCCTGACCCAGGGCAGTCAGTGTATTTTGCAAACAAATTCCATTGTGACTTCCACTGACCCTGACAGGGCAGTGTCCAGACCTCCACAGCCACATGGAATGGTTACTTTCTGGAGAAAAGTACTTGTTAATGGTTAAACTATGAAAGGGCCTTGACAAGTAAGATGAGATTTCAAGATATGTGGACTTTGAAAAGTGCTCCAAATTTCAATGTGTAGATGATTGCTGTTTTGTTTTTTTTTTTTTTTTTTTTTTTTTAAAGAACAACATTATCTGAACCTTAAAATCTGTAGTTCACGCAGAGACACTGACGTTTCCCTTCTCATAGTGGTGGTCACTCTGCTATCCTCTGATTACCTTTGGGTCACTCACTCTTTCACTCTTTGTTCCTTTTTTCCTTTTCTTTCTCCCTCTCCTTTCACTTCCTCTCTTCTCCTTCGTTCCTTTCTGTTTTTCTTTTTTTATTTTGTGGTGCTGGGGGTTGAGCCTAGGACCCTGGGCAAGTGCTCTACTGCTGAGCTAATCCCTAACCCTTTTATTTTTCTTTGTAATCTTTAGCTTTACCTACATCCGTATTGGGTCCAAACTCAGTAATGTCAATTCTCATGTTAGATGAAGGACCCAGGCACCAATAAGTTGAACAGAGACTGTGTTTGCTGTTCCCTGAGAATTTACCATGACCCTTTCCCAGTGAGTGAGGTCAAGAAATAAGGGGCTCAGCATGATCTGATTCCCCCTCTGCTCACAATCGGCTGTGGTGGACATTGTCTTTTTGGGGAACTGGGCCTGGCTGCTGTGCCTGCCTTTTATACCTTACAGGAGGTCAGGGTACAGAGGCAGATCTGGGCCTGTCTGCTACAGGCAGCCTAGAAAGCCCTGGGGACAATGTGTAGTGATTTTTGATGAAGTCTTAGCTCTAACTTTTTTTTAATAACTGAAGTGTTTTCCCATAATGAATATATACATACTTGGATCTGAAATTTATTTAGAATACAGATCAAGATGCATATAGTCCAACTGAACTCCAAAAATACCCTTCCCAAGGTGGCTCATTTCTCTCACATTCAGCTTTAAAGGCAGCTCCTCAGAGGCATTTAAAGGAGAGCGTTCCCCAAAGCTCAGCTCTGCAAGGTTTGCTGTCAAGAAGAGAGGCCTAGGTTGGTTTCCCTAGCCCTCTGAAATATAGAAGCTGCTGTTGGGTTTTGGGCTTTGCAGCCCGATCATTTAGCACAGAACCTGGCACATAGTAGGGTCTTCACTTTTTATTTATTATTATTTTTTATTTTTTTGTTTTACTGAGGATTGAACTCGGGCCCTTGCGCTTGCGAGGCAGGCTCCGGAACCACTGAGCTAAATCCCCAGCCCTCTTCACTTTTTATTGAAATGATTCAATTAGCTCCAGAAGTGGTAGGCTTGGGGGTTTTGTTTTGTTTTGCTTTACAGGGATGGCCAATCAGGAAAGATTACTGTGGATGACTATGGCTCCAGAACTGGCAGATCACCTGGCATGATGAGGCAGCTCAACATCAATGGGGCTCTGTATGTGGGTGAGTGACCTTTGGCCGACTCTAAATTTGGCCAGGGCTTTTTCTTGTTAGTTTTCTGTTTGTTGTGCCGGGCTATGCACTTCACAGGGTCAAATACCTGGAATTCAGGAAGCTGTCCAGATAGTCCATTCTTCCATTTTCTGAACTTCTGACTCATGCCCGAGGTGGCAGGAAGGGACTCATTCACATGCTTTTATGCTTTGAACCTATGCACCAGGAAAACCATGCTTCTCTTGTTTATAGAACAGGAACTTGCTTAATATAGCTCCATGAATTCCCTCTGAGGAAGGTGGATCTGTCTTTCTGGCCTCTCTCAGAATAGAATGAGTATGTCTAAAAATGGCTTATAATCTACTAACATAGACACACAAAAATAAAAAGACATCCTTACACATTTTCTTTAAAAAAAGAACCAAATTGAAAGCAGTCAATATCAGTGCATTTCTTTTGGCCTAAAATGACATCACCTCTAATGATATACTATATTTTGTTGATGTTATACAACATTTCAAAACTTAGTAAACACTGTTTAGTTTCAAGGTGATCGTTTAGGCCATAAATGACACAGGAGGTGGATATTTGTAACCCTTTGCTCTGTTTCAAGTTGATTTAAATTGTCCTGTTCCTTCAAGGATGATTATAAAGTGGATATGATACACTGAGCAGTTTGTCATGTCAGCCCAGGGACACGTTGTTCAGGGGACACCCAAGTGCACTGTGGAGGCCGGGGATTTAGCTCAGTGATTCTGCTGCCTGCCTCACAAGCACAAGGTCCCCAGTTCAATCCCAGGGACCAAAAAAAAACCACTTCATTCCAAGTGCACTATGGAGAAGCACCCCACACCCAGCACCTCCTCTTTCGCTTACTCCTTTTGCTTCCTGGCAGGAGGGATGAAGGAAATCGCTCTGTACACCAACAGGCAGTACACAGGAGGCCTCGTGGGCTGCATCTCCCACTTCACCCTGTCCACCGATTACCACATTTCCCTCGTGGAAGATGCTGTGGATGGGAAAAACATCAACACTTGTGGAGCCAAGTAACACCAGCTGGCCTTGCCCGAGGGACACAGCCTCTATTCTGAGCATCCCAGGTGACTCAAGACCCTGCCTGATGCTACGCAGAGAGGCCTGGGGACCAGGTGTGTTTCCTCTCATCAAGAAGAAAGTACACCCTGATGGAAGCTGAGCTCAGACGCAGGAGTCCCCAGTGCCCTTTCCTGCTGACACTGTGGGCCACATGCATTGAGATACTCTGTGTGGGAAGCACTGGACTTTGCCAATTGTTTGTGTAGAGTCTGCTAGCGATCCAACATCACTGCAAATTCCAGAGCCTGTCTGCTACAGCCTATGGACTGCGTTGTGATTCAGAGGGGGTCGGGGGAGACAAACTGACAGAGAGACAGAGAGGCACAGAGAGATGGGGAAAGAGAGAGAGAAGGGAAAGAGAGAGAGAGAGAGAGAGAGAGAGAGAGAGAGAGAGATCTATAGAACAGTATTAAAATACTCTGTCCTTCCCTAACTCATGACATTCTTACTGACAGCAGAACAATGGCTGGGTGACCTTCATCTTCAAGTTTCCCACCTTGGCCCATAAATTGATCAGATTAACCCCTTCCACTCCTCCTTGGCTGACTCTGTGTGTCTGACTGTTCCAGGAAAATAAAAATTGGGAGCGATTAAATATAGAATCACGATTACAATGTGGCTCCCTTCCCAGCCTTTACACTGAATGTGAAATCCCTACTTTTTATAATGCAAAGTTACGGGAATGGGCTCCATGATTTTGTAGCTGTACTTTTGTATGTGTATATTTTTATAGCTGCAAACTGTCCGCACAGTATACTTTTGAAAGTTAGGGTGGAAAATCCTACTTCTTGCACACTTTCCTAAAAATTTTCTCCCAGAGGAAAATTGTTGGGGCCCTTTGTGGTGTGAGTGGAGTGGAAGAGATAATTTGGGCGGGATCTCGGGGAGCTGCCCGTTCTCTTCAGGATATGTTGATGGCTCAAGGGAATACATATGAAGCTTTCCAAAAGAAGCAGATTTAAAAAAAACAACAAAAAACAAATGTGTTTCTGAGGTTGGGTCACTGTCATTTTATTTTAAGAGAGAGGGGCTATCTGCAGTAAAAGTGATGAGGAAGGCTGGTACTCATTCGTTCATTCGTGGAGTTGCACCTGATTTTGTAGAGACTACCTCCACAAATGGATGCTAAGGCATTCAGTGCTTCCCAGGCTGTGTGGAGGTAGAGGTTGTTCCATCTGCATGGCCCAAGAGTCTGAAGAATCAGAGAAACAGAGCTCCTTCCTTCAGTACCTCAGCTGTTCCCCTGTGACATGCATGCATGTGACTCTGGAGACAGCCGGGCACTGGCAGATCCTATGACAGGCCCTGCTAAGGTGGAATGGGTGCTGCCCTGAAGAGGAGGGAAGTATGTTCTGAATGGCACTAGTCCTGACTCTACACTTGTTTCTGTAGCATTCATTTGACAAAAACTTCTGAGCTTGTGCAAAGAGGTTGTGGACAAATTAAGAATTCTGAAAAATGAATAAACAACTAAAGAGGTTTGCCTTGTATCTCAACATTCTGACTTGTATCGCAGCCTTCCGCCTTTTGCCTCCCAATCTGTCTTTGGGAGTCTTTGATAACCAGGATCCTTCCTACTAGAAATTATGGTAATAATAACGACAGCAATAATAACCATCCTCTCCTGCCCATGCCACCTCAAGAGTGCCATGTGGAGAAGGCACATGGTAGAAAGGAGGTCCTGTCACCTCCTAGCCACCATCCCCTCAGTGCCTTTTCTTGAGATTACTAAGGCCAGTGTTTCCCAGGGATGCATACAATAGAGTTGCTCTCACAGCACATTTTGAATAGATAACCCTCCAGCCAAAAACAAAAACCCCCAAAATTGTGATTTTAGCAAAGTGTTCAGCTGAGCTGAAGCCGGAGAATTGTCTTATTCCAGCAAGTGTTATCCAGAGAAGAATGCAACGGGGTGCGTGTTGAAGCTGAGGAGATTTGGGAACCACCTCCTCTGTGGGTGGTAAGGCAGGCAGCCACATGGATTCAGGGCAGTAAGGATTCTATAAGTGAGAGGGCAGCAGAGCAGAAGGACCCAAGAGGATGGGAAGGCTCAGCACAGGGGCACCAGGTAAGAGACAGTATATCCCAAGCTTGGACCAGGGCTCTTCACCCTCTCTGTGGACAAAACGCTAGGGATGTGGGAGGAGTTAATAGCAGAGTGGATGTAAGAGTGAAGACTAACCTAAAAGTAGGGGATTAGATCTTATGGAGAAGAGAACTGGGAGGAGCTCAGCCTGTGCTTGTGGATGTCCCAGTTTTCTTTCAGTGCTTCTGTTACCTTTTGCCACACTAATGTTGCCTAACGACCAACTATAAACCTCAGTGGTGCATAGCAGTGTCTACTGCTTATGTGCCCTGAGTGGTGAGCTTGGCAGCCTTGCTGACTAGGCTGGCCTTGAGGAGGTGGTTAGTCTCGTCTCAGCTGGACGTGCTCACATGTGTAAGGGGCTGTGAGTGTAGGATGTCTCAGCTGGGAGGGTAAGGTGACTTGGTAAGTACATGTCAGTGGCTCAAGAACAAGTATATGAAGCTTCCCCCAAAAATCAGATTAAAAGGAACATATGCTACTAAGGTTGGGTCACTCATTTTGAGAGAGGGAATACCTGCAGTAAAGGGGATAAAGAAGGCTAGAACTCATTTATCTATTCATGAAATTGCTCCTGGTTTTGTAGAGCATGGCTCCAAGCCTACTGTCTTCCTCCTGTGGCCTGGGGGCAGGCCTGAGCATGGCTTTTCCTCATGATGATGAGGGAAGACAGGAATTCTAGGGTGAAGGCCTGAGTCCTGCACAGCCTAAGTCTGGAACTGCCACATGACATTTCAGCCATATCCTATTAGTCAAAGGCTGTAGATTTAAGAGTGAAAGAATTAGACTCCACCTCCATCATGACCTCATGACAGAGACTCCTCACCAGAGTGAAAGGACACACTGAGCCGCCTGGCAAGGGGCATGAATACTGTGAGGATGACACATTGGGACCATTAAGGCAACTGGTCCAAACGGCAAGTAATATTGTTGAAAGAAGAGGTTGCCCCTCTTTTCAGGAGCCATTGGGACTGGGGTTGAGGCCTGTGAAGTTCTTAGTGAACAGCCGAACCAGGTCCAATGGAAGCAACACTTCCCCCTCCCAGCCTCTCCTGCTGTCCTCCTATCTCCATTAGTCCATCCGTCTTTCCACCTGTTGTCTTCCACGTAAGGACAGACCAGCAGAAATATAGGATCTCTGCCTTGGCTTTTAGGTAGCCACTGAGGTGATTAGCAAGTTGTAGAGGGGTGGGCTGGGCTCTTGATGGGAAGTAGCCATGGAACTCCCAGGGTAATGCAGTTTCCGGCCTTCCCAGAAAGAAGGATATCATGAGGCATAAGTTCCTAAAAAGCATCTGTCCCACAATTAAGATCTGAGGAAATTCCCCAGAACTTCCCACAGATTCTGAGGAAAGGTGACAAAGGTGGAATGAGGAAAGGTAGTTCTTGCTCTTCCTATAAAGTGGACTTAGATAACCCTGTGCGTTTCCTCTAGGCCCACCCTTGAGAGCTCCCTCAGGAAGGTCTGTGGGGGTCTTCTTCGTCCCCATACCGTCCCACAGGCTTGTCAGTCCTCTCCATCGCCTCTCCGACTGGCCGTCCCACTCTCCGCCCTCTTACTTGCTTTCATTTCCTGACCCAGGCCTGTTTCAGTCTCTGGGCCTCTGCTCCAACACAAACAGGCCTGCTGGCTTCCATACTCTGCCAGCTTCCTCAGTAACTGGTGCTTTCCTTCTAACTTCCCTCCCTCTTTTCCTCCACCTCCCACCCCCTCTCTTCTTTCTGTGACAGGGAGCTGTCTCCTCCCTGAGGGGGCGGAAGGATCTCGGAAATGTGCCCAGAGCTGGCAGGCCAAGTGCTTTCCACTTGGAGGAAATGCTGCATTTCTCACCCTTAACCTAGAAAAATATGGTTCTCAGAAAGCTTGTTTTTAGCACTGAAAGTTCCCAAAGGAAGCAGAATAGGAAGGAGGAGGGGGCACCCAGCCTCTCTCAGCAGCTCTGACAACCAAACCTCTGCCTCACTAGGCTGCTCTTCCTGGGAAGGAACTGCCCAAGGGCGGCCTGCTTGGGCTCTGCTGCTGGGAAAAGAAAGGCAGAGAATTCCGGTTCCAAGAGGGAAGAGTACTTTAGGAGAGGGCTGGGCAAAGCATTAACTGCCTCTCCTTTGGTCCTTGTAACCTCCTCCCCTTCAGCCCAGCCCAGCCCAGAAATGCACAGTTGCTCAGTAGCTACTGTGAAAGAGGAGCCTGGTAAAGGACATCTGTAAGACCCCCCATGGAGAGGGGTATAAGATTAGAAAGTTGCACAGAACTTTCACCCTGAGAGAACTCTTGAGGGGAGAAGGCCACCAGCATGAATCATAATCCAAAACTGCTGCTTCAGCCCACTCTTCATTATTTCTCCACAGGGAGAAAGTGAGTCCTGTAAAATAGATGGTAACTGCTTACACAAAGCACACCCTAAATACTAAACAAAGAAGGGAAAAGTAAGTGGCCCTACCTCAGCCTTCATGAGGCCCTAAAGTACCAAGTCTGGGGCACTGAAGCCAGGGGGTTCTTGGTGGAGCTAACCTGTTGTCTTTAGGAAGTTCCGGTTTACAGGTGGCCACACTCAGGCAAGCAAAATGACTAACCCAATACATCCTGAACTGGCTTCTGGGGTAGGTCGAGTAATTATACCTCAACCTCATGTTCAAAGAAAGTTCACATATTTGATCTGAATAACAGTCTTCTTCCTGTGATGGGCAGAGCCAATGAGCAGGGCCCATTTGACTTGGAAAAACAAAGCTTTCCAGAAAGCCTGGCTGATTCCACGCGGATGCCACCATACTGCTGCACTGGGGAACTTCTCTACTCTTTATCCTAACCTTCATCCAGCTGCAGCCTGCTCAAGGATATCAGGACTAGCTACCAGGGGCAGTGTAAGGGAGGGGACTTGTGTGCCAGTCTCTCATCATATTTCTGTTGAGAGCAGTTTCATCTAAGACTCTTACTGCAAAGACCCTGAGTTGAACAAGGACCCTGAAAGCAGAAACCAGAGCTATTCCATCAGAGTGGGCTAACTGTAGACACGCCTGGATTGAATTATTTTCTCTGCTCTCCTTTGCCTTCAGCTCTACAAATAACCTTCATAACTCAGGGGA